TTATTGTTTTACTGCTATCAACACAGCTCTACCGATATGTGAGACAAAGAGGGCTCTCGCATTCTAACCTAAAATATGGCCCACCTCATCCTCCAACGTAATATAATAATATTTTTGTGAAACAAACTAAATTCACTATTTTGTTTACCGACTTACTCACGTAACTATTTGACAAGGCTCTCGATGTTCACCGTGTGTGAGCGTGTGTTGACTTCCGCGCAATGTTGCTCATGAGTATGGAACTAGTTGAGTTCCTCGTCAAGCAGTTAGGTACGTGAGTAAACCGGTAGAAATAATAGATAATACGCATTAAACTGTCAAACACCAAGCGGTCACCGGTGACCGCAACCTATTGTTCTATAATTGTGTCTACAAAACCGATACTCGACGAGTTAATACATTAAACTGTCAAACACCAAGCGGTCACCGGTGACCGCAACCTATTGTTCTATAATTGTGTCTACAAAACCGGTACTCGACGAGTTAATACATTAAATTACCTACTGATGTTCAGAAATGTTACAGCTGACAAATAGAAAAATAAATAATTATAAATAGGTTCATCAGACCAGATATTGTGGTCAAACGTCGACCCAACGACATACATAAAAGGTGGATAAGCCTCGACCTTGGTCACCGGCTGTAGCAGTGTGAGATGTTGATCAACATTGACGAGGCAATTAAGGACCTCTGAATTCTCAGATTTTGGGCTACGGATGGACGTTTTAGTTAGAAAATACATTTGCACTTTTAGATCTAAGCAGCAATGTATAAGAATCGAACAATCGATATATGTTGCACAACAGCCAGTTTTCCAACCACTGTACCAAGAGTGTTCCGTACCCTAATCGATGTTATAAATAAACTAAAACAGATTCTTTTACAAAAATCTTAACAAAATTTCAAATGCTATAGTAATAAAATGTTAGAAGATTGCAAGTCTAGTCTTGATCCACAATTATAATAATTTATTGTAGGTATACTACCAACACTTTATGGCGCCAGAACCAAATTACCAATGCAGCACAAATGCTGAGCTGTCTCCTTTCAAATTTGATTGCGCCCAACATCACACGCCCATGAACTCTATAATGAAACAGCCGAATAAAAACAAAACTACGGGCATATATGATTAGGTCGATACACGAGTAAGGTAGAACCACTAAACAAACAACCATTACAATATCGCTGCGTCACTCTGTTGGAAATCACTTATTGTGGGAGTGACTTGCACTCCCGCGCAAGTGCTTTATGCAGCACGCTTAGGTTTTGTTCGTACATTATCAACTAGTGCTATATTCTCTTCTAGCTAATACAAATATCTCATAAAAGTTGAAAGTTAAATGTTAGAGTCAAGGGAATCTTATTTCCACACTAAGTTGTAACTAATGGTAAACAAAGTAAATCTATAAACTTAAATTACTTTTATCATAATCATGTATAATCTCCCTTTTTTCACTCCAGGGGTAAATTAAAAAAAAAAAACTTTTACACAAAATACCTTTGCCAAATTTCTGCTCTCTACGATCAATAGTCTCAAAAGTGCGTTGTTTGTCGGTTAGTAAGTCAGTCAGTGAGTCTAGATAAGAACACACAATTTACCTACTAATAAATATTAACACTAAGATTAAGGATATGATACATTGGAGAATGTCTACTAAAATTCAATAAAATATCTAGGTGAACTTGCGACTGTGTAAGAAACCAGTATTTTAAAAGACAAGCGGCATTGTCACCTCTCTAACCAGACCTTTGCGAATAATTATTCAAATCATAATAAAGAAGCAAATTTAACTGGCTGAAGGGCGATGTAACTGTCAGTGGTTTTTACCTCAAATGTGAATGTGCCTCACTCATCCCGTTACAAGTTTCCATCCTCCGAGCACAGAACAAGTCCCAAAACTCCGTACTCTAGTTGAACCAATGAACACGAAGCGAGACTCTTATTCCTAGTTATAGTAAAGTAATAAAAGACCTAACCTAAAAATATTTTGAATAGACATGGCGAGCTGAATAAATGCACACATATACATAACTACAAACTCAAAGTCATATTTGTTTTCTTTCCGTGCTTATTTAGGAATGAAGATACCGTAATCATAAAATGGTGAATATTATAAAATTGGAAGATGTCTTGCTTATATAACAGAAGATACGAAACGTTCTTATCGCGGCGTGTCATGTTCAACACGCATAGCTAAACAATGGCGCGCGCATTCGACGGACGGACGGACGGGTCAAATGAGGCGCGGCGTCAAATCTCGGGTTGCACCGACTTGGCGCCGGGCGACACATTTGAGAAGTTAGCTCACCCATTGAAAACGACTAAAAAACAATAAACGAAAAGTTGTGGCCGTCTTGCTTCACTTCACAAAGTAACAAGCGACCATAGTAAATAAATCTGTCAAGGAATCGATTTCGACTAAGACTAACAAAATAAATATATAAAAATAATAATTTTAACTAAAATACCTATTTAAGAACATACACATATTTTTATAACAAATAATTGATCTAAAGAACAAGAATGAAATATTTAAGAGTTTAATTAATTAGTTCATGTGCAACTCAGATTTTAACGTAGATAAATCATTTAGAAGCCACTGTCTTAATTAGACTGAGAGATGTCAGCAAAGTCGATGCCTTGCACCGGAATAAATCAGGACTTAAATTGCTTTCTACAACGACACTCCCACCGTCGAGTTGGCGTTAATAGCGCGTGCAACCGAAATCGTAGACGAATATTTGGAAGTATTTTTTACAATGAAATAGAATACTCGAGGTCTGCGAACAGGCGCCACAAAAAAAGTGGTTGTAATTGCACTCCAGTTTAACGCACCAATTAGAACATGCCAAACTATAAAACTATTAATTTTATTGAAGAAACATCTTAAATGATATTTAACAAACACAATAAAAACTGTAAGTAGTCTTTTAAATTAAAGATGACGATATAAATTTTTTCTTATATTACCCTATATAAATGTAATTAACAATACCATTATTGGTCGTACCAATATAACTGTTGGTATAGCAACCAAATCGAAATGATTTGGATTTAATTACTTGGATCACTGACTCCGCCCTCGTTGACTCAAACAGTCGTAAATCAAGAATACTAATAATACGAAGCTTTCGAGTTTTTATTATTAAACAAACCTTTATCAACACAATTACACAATCATTAGTAAAGATTTAGATATTAGAAAATCAAATAAAATTAGCTATCGTTCTCAAAAACGTTAGTAGTATTTGGAAGATAACTTATTAAAGAATTATAAAACGTAATACTCACAGTTATCTTTGTTACCTATAATATGGGTTCATAAGTCAATAAGCCACACAACCATATAAAAAACAACTTTGTCTTAACAATGTTATGTTCTTGTAATACGAGAAAGAGGCTTTTTTGGTTCCAAGTAAAATTTTGTCTAATCAACCTTGCATAAGTGCAATTTTTATAATCACCTACAATCTTAGTCTTCGATAGAAAATTCTTTTATAGTGACTGGTATCTACAAATATTTATATACAAAACAACAAATTTATCAAACAGTAATAAGGATTAAAACAAACTTCAGAAACATTTTTTTGGTGTGTTCCAATATTTCTTAAAGAGTTAAAATGAATTCAACATTAACAAAGTGCTAACAGGAGTCATGGAGTGTTAAAAAAGCTTATAAAATCAGCTAATATATTTCAACTAATCACCATGAGGCATTAAAATATAAATTTTAAAGATAAGTTCTTTTAGATAGGAAACGACGATGACATATTTAAATTTCTCATTTCAAAGAGAAACAAGCGAGGTCTACAATAAAAAATATCATAAGAACCCACACACAGAGAAATTTCCACAAATCTATAATTCCATCAGCAAGTCAAGCAAATACGAAAATAAGCATCAAAGTGTTTTTTTAGAGGAAAGACGACAAATGTCAACCAGCAAGGCAACAGTAGCAAACACGTGTTCCATATTGTCTGACAATATTTACTGTTGCTTTATTAGCTCGGGAAGCGGATAGATGATAATGAAAATAACTGTCATTCTTCATTCTAAAGTACTAGAGTTAAAATAACAAAGTAAACTCATAATACATAGATTGTCGATAAATTTAAGCCTATCAAAATTATTGCTTATAGCAAAAATAAAGGTTAAAACAAATCTTTGTTAATTTCCTTAATTCGTGTTTTAACTATTCACATACCAAAGAAAAGATACCAATAAAATTTAAATCCAATTGCGTCGACCCTTGATTTACAACGGATCAATAAAAGAGAAGGCTATCATTACTTTTTTACTGCGTATTCAATAAAAGTAATGTAGATACTTGGTAATCAATACCAAAACAATACTTTTTAGACAGAAATATAAGAGGATGGCATTTACCCTTAAATCTTAAATTTTGGTAATTTATTGCATTAGATAATATATTATAAATAATAATTAGATAAAATAATAATAACAACAACTCAGTTCTGTCAATATGGCTGATTACTTGGCCCCTATGGCTGATGAATAACATCAACATTTATTAACCCAAATTACGAAATGCTCTTAAAATTAGCGATCTTACAATCACTTTATATGACGTCTATATATCAAGAGCGAGAATTGAAACAGTATTTAAACACAATAGTTGTATAGAAAAAAGTCGGGTCTGAGAGATGGCTCATAAAATAAAACAAGGGACTACGTCCGGAGATATGTCAAGATAGCATGCGGCGGGGGGGCGCGGGCCGGCGCCGGCCGTGCACCCTGAGACCCAATTAGAAGCACACCTTTTGGACATGTGCTCTCACTTGGCGCTTACTAAATCCGAAAAACTCAAGAATATGGGACATCCACATCCGTAATCGTTTATCACATTTTTAAACGGAAATTATGTCGTGCTCCGAAAAACAACGTTCGGCTAATTCTAAAATGGTGTGAACTTTTAACAAAAAAAATTATAGGCTTCTTCTTTTCCAACACTTAATATGCTTTATGATACACTAACCTTGGTCTTAACAAGTTTCGCATTTTCCTTGCACATCTTTGCTAGGGCATGATAGTCGCCTCTTGCAGCACATAAAATCCATTGCTTTTGCTTGGAGTCTAATGGGTCAGCCTCGCTCTTTTGATCTAACTGCAATAAAATAGTCTTAGTTTATTTGCTTCGTTTAATGGGTAATAATTCATTCCTATCTTGTTTGTACTTACAGAAACTCTGTCTTCCTCGTCCAAACCCTGCAAAAAAAAATTCAATGAGTCATCATCAAAACTTCAACAACCATTTTATACTTTTAAGTATAGACTTGTTCATTCATGGTAACCAATTTATTAAACGATGTTCATCAACGTACTTAACGTCTGAAAACAAAAGATTAGGAATATAAATAAAGATGATATTTACATACATAATAAATATCTTAACGACACATATAAATTAATCGGAACCTAATATTTCAAAATTAATAAATGAGTACTTATATTGTGAAAATAATATTTTGAATTAATGGTCAATAAATTCGAATTCTCCCGTCTTCAGGCCTGCGCTGCTATTCAAGTAAGATGATTTAGGTTACAAGTTATTTGAATGGGTCAGTATAATTAAAAACTCTAGGTGTTGTATAATACAGTTCATTTTCGTGTAATATACGATTAAAGTTACAATGTTTGCGACTGGTGCACTGGGCGTGCGCTGCGCAGCATGACCACTTTACCACCTGTCGTTACATATTTATGTCTACACTATTGGCCTCACTGTTAGGGACTTTGATATTGACAAGATAACATCCTTAATGTGATGTGTTTGATTTAATAATAAGATTAAGTTTGTATGTTGCCTGTTTAAATTCTGTGGAAACAACAATTAAAATAAACGCCCAGATTACAAGTGCTTTTGAAGAGGGCAAAATTCTGTAGCGTTACTTGGATAAATGTACACAAATTGCAACTCCGAAATACGGATAATGAAACATTTGGGAGTATGTTTAGATTCGAGAACCATAGCTGTTAATCATGGTTAATTATAAGAATCTACTATTTTCCTTTTTAACGTTAAACATATTAGTTTGCTAGTATTATCTTAATTTTCTTTGTTTAAAAACAATGAAAACGACAACGAAAATATACCTACATAGTGATAGGAAATATAACAAAAAGGGAAAGAATTTACTTTAAACCAAAACCAGTGATTAATTGTATAGAATGCCATTTCGTAAATAAATTGTGACCATTTTGCAAGTTTTCAATCAATTCAAGTTATGATTGTCAAGTTTTAAATTTTTCTCACACTCACAATTATTTTCATTTCATGAACTAAACACGCTCCGATTCTCCGGCTTATTCTTGAATCCTATTCCGATCGATCCACATTGATATTGTGAAATTTCGTACTCTTAAGTTGCAACATCAGCTCCCATTGCATCCGTATCGCGTAGATATTAAATGAACTAAATGGTATTGAGTTAGGCTTTTTATTCCGTACTCTGAATGCTATTTTAACAGCTACGATAGGGGTTTTTTAGTGTTGACATTGAATAATTATTGAGATTTTATTGGATTGAAATTGCATTGACATTAAGATTGGTTTCAAGAGTAAGCGCCCTGGAGGCTTACTCTTAAATCCTATTCCGATCAATCGACATTGCGAATGTGATATTTCGTAGGTACTCTTTGAGTTGCAGTTAGTTGCAACACTAGCGCCCATCGCATTTGTATTGCTTAAATATTAAATTAACTAAATGTTATTGAGTTTAGCTTTTGAATCCGTACCTACTCTGAATGGTATTTCAACAGATATATTTTTAATGTATAGTTTGTACCTTGTAATACCTTGAAAAATAGAGTAGATGAGTAATTGTTATTTGGATGTCCGTCTGGTAGATTGTTTAAAAACATTAGACTCGTAATTATTTTCTTACAGTAACAAATACTTTCGACAATATTTTGATTAGAAATATGTATCGCGTGACGTCACTTTTGTGTACGTTTTGTACCCAAAAATTACGTAGCTAGCTCCCACTCCTGAACTTTGATTCGTTTTATTTAAGTATTGTTTTCTTATACCACAAAATAAAGAAAAACATGTCGACTATTATTTCATTAGCTATCTGACGGACTAATAAGATTTCCGATTTTCATACTCAGTCGTCATCTCTATTATTGAGTTTTTATTGGATGGATTCCGATCGTACATTGATAAAAGAACACAATTGACACAACTCGCGTTGGCCTGATGGAAACTGTAAATAACGGTTTCACCGAAAATGTTCTACATAATGCCAAACAAAGTGTGTTTGCCGTAAGCACACTGACCAACATTTCCGTGCGAATATGTTAATGATCATTAACTATGCCGATTTTACACTATCGGAAACAATTGTAGAACCATGTTTTTTTTTAAAGTCGTCACTAACTAATTTAACGTGTTTTTATATAAAAATCAAGTGAATTAAATAAGACAATGTATGATGGTAAATAGGAAAACATATTAGAGAAGAATGCGAGGTAATTATTAGCTTCTATTTAGCTTTATCATTAATAAATAAACTACTTTTTTGTTTCCATGACAAAAATAAAATTGATATTAATGCATGAAAGGGTAGGCTCGCCAGTTAGTCGCCGAAGGGCTCCAGGCGTGCGTGCCTCTCTCTTCGCTGTAGGACGCCATAGGCATCACGTTGTTCGCGCTGGCTCGCATTATGGTGGCGACGACGGCACCACATTACGATCGATATACGTCACAATCTCCTAGCGTTTAATTTCATTCTTAGTAAATGACACAATACGGATGTAATAAAAAACATAACCTCAATTCTGAAAAGTTGCAAATAAATTGACTGCACAGTTTGAACTTTTAAAGTTCAAACTGTGCAGTCAACCATGGGAACCATGTTTCGGCACGAATAGAGCCGGCTTGACCGGAGTGATACCACGTCCTCACAGAAAACTGATGTGAAACAACGCTTGTGCTGTGTTCCGTCATGTGAATGAGGTTATCGGAGGCCCAATTACTCCCCCCCCTCCCCAATCTCCCCAATTCCTGAATCTCATCAATCCTCAAATTCCTAATCCCCAAAAGGCAAGAAGTTGCAAAATCATCTGCAATGACCATGATCTATGCAATAACAAACTATGACTTTACTTTATATGCATTCAGCTATCACTCTAGTTATGTTTATAATGATATATAACTCACTACCGAAACACATAAAGGAGGCAGGAAAAATTAGCGTGTTTATAAATAAATTAAAACAGTTCCTCATTGAAAAATGTTACTTAACGAGTTTTTCGATGACCAAACCAGCAAAACAAATCTATACATATAATAACTATCAAGATTATAGACACCTAATTAAAATTCATAATAGTACATAAACTACACACTATTAACATATGTAATAATACATACATTTAAGAAATTTATGTAAATAGGTAAATATTATGATGAATTAAAGAAAAAAATGTAACTGTTTAGAATGAAAATAATATATCTTATTTCATAATATAATAAGTAAACTAATTAGATTATATTCTGCTTTCATGTAATAATTATGTTGCCGTCCCTTACTGGGTTTCATGTTGAAACTGTTTCTATCCAACATGTAACACACAACTATGTAACACTTATTGTACACATGAATGATGCAAAAAAATTGAATTCAGTGCTATGGTTAGTACTAGTAACGACGAACCAAGTACCACAAGCAAATAGGTATGACCATTGACCATAGAGCTGCTTCCCATAAACATCAACATGAGGAGGAATCAAATGAAAGTTGTCTTCATGAGATCTAGTGACGATTTGGCAACTAAGTATTTATCTAAGGAGCAAAACACATAACGGCGTTGCTGCGCCGCGCCGCTAGAATCGACAGTAGCGTCACTGCCGAGTTAACTGGTTCCAGCATAGCACAGTAATGTCTTCTTAATAACAAATAAGCAATAAGTTTTTCACGATGTTCCATGGCAGAGACATGCCTATCCACAATAAAAAATCACGACGAACTGGTTACCCTACCGAACGACAATAAAACGCTCTTTTTCACGACGCCGCAACGCAACTGCCGATTTTAGCGTTGCGGCGACGCAACGCGGTTATGTGTTTCGGCCCTAACAGCCCTGAAAACAACATGTAGTGATCAAAAACAAACAAAACTTATAATACGTCCTAGTGTTGGGGCCATTGCCTAACTAAAATAGTGATGTAAAAGATTGGAATTAATTTGAGTCCAGGCAAAAAATTATTTTTGCCTACAGGTATTACAAAATACAATATGAGACCGAAGTCCTAAGTATTCGTCTCCAGGGAAAAAGCCCGTATGATGGCTTGTACCTTGTACCCTATAGCAAAAGGAACCTCAACACTTATCCAGATCCTCGTAATTTCTATGGAATTGCATAAACTTTTACTTAAATAAAGAATATATGAGTAGAAGTAGAAATCCCTACCTGTATAATATATTGTATAAGATCTAACAGAAACTTTAAAGGAACAGGGTAAAAAATACAAGCACAAGCAGATAAAGAGAAACCCGGTGTTGCGGTTTTTAATCTATTAAGTATGTTAGACCTATCCCCTTAGAATATCTTTTAACTTCCGTCTTAATGCAAGGACATCTCATTTCAATCATGGAACCTATGGTACAGAAAACTGAACTATCAGACGAACAATCCAGGTTGGTCTCTTCAGAAATTGAAATTTTGAAAGGTTTGTAAGCTACGGTTACTACTACTACTAGTTTTGAGGTATTTTAATGTTAATGATATTTTGTGCAACTAGCTGACCCCGCAAATTTCATATCACATCAAATATTTTTTTCTCACTGTTTATACCTTCATTGGACTTCCATAATAAAGTCAAGACCAAAATTAGCCAAATCGGTAGCCGAGACTAACGAACAGAAATTCATTTTTATATTATAGATTTTGCTATATTAATATTGGTGAAACTCTTAAAAATCGACCCCAATTAAGCTGAGTTATCTTTAGAATAAAAGTAAATTATCTGCTTATTTTAACCGTTAGTAAAATATTTTGTGAAGCCTAGGTGTTCATATTCTTCTGGCTGTTCCTCAGCTACTTTGGAGCCTAAGACCAGGCAGGTAACGCGACGTAAAGTTTAATATTAGTTTATTTGTATTTTGTATTTATAACGCACTGACCAAAGAAACTGTAACGCTACTGAATTTTAAGTCGCACGTAAGTATAGTTCTATCACTATACATTCTTTGTAAAATGAT